ACTACCGTGCATGGTATCTGTGTGTATGTGGTTTGTTTCCCTTTTCTTTCTTTCTTTTCTTTCTTTCTTTCTTTCTAGATACCTTGGGGAATAGATAGAAGCTTCCTAACTTTTCTGTTTGCCAGTGTATCAGCTGTATCCATTCACTTATTAATTATGAAAACTTGTCTTTCACAGGGGGTAATGGTATTTAGGAAGTAGTACTTATTTTCTTTTACACAGGCTAGGTTCTATAGGTCATAGGAAATTTGGCATAGGTTTTTTGTTTTGTTTTTGTTGTTTTACTTTTTTTTAATGGAGCTATTTTCTTTGGTTTTGTCTTGCTATTCTGGGGCCTTCTAATTTAATTTGTTTTGCTCTTGTTATTTGATGAAGCAGGTAAACACTGCCTAACCTGGTCCAGTTATCATCCACACACAGCCTGAAGTCTGGAAGGGACCCAGGTTTCCTGGGACATATGCGTGGTGAATAATAGAGATTAAAAAATAGTCTCTAAATTATTAATCCAGATTAATGGAAGTAAAACAGTACTTAAATGTTTCTGTCTTCTCATTTTCCTTATTTGTAGACTTAGCAACTAGGAGAAGATGCTGATGACAAAACGTATGTGTGTTTACACTGGGCAGTATTTACTTGTAGTTAACGGGAGTGAGTGTAAAGAGAAAGAAAAAAAACGATAGCATGTTATTTGTGTCATCTCTCCTCCCACCCAATTCCTCCAATTGTCTCCTGGATTAGCAATGAGTATTGTTTCTATGGGTGTTTTTATTTGTTTGTTTGCTTTTTAGATATTTCCCCCCACCCCATCACCTACCTCTCCCCTTTGGGAATAAAGGGAGCTAATAAGGCATCTATTTCAATAGTCTTCTGGCTTTCGGATGATAGAAAGTCAATTTAAAGTAAAAGAAAACTGTGGCAGGCAGGATTGACACAGAAGTGCATGGGTTCCTACCAGCACTTGGTAGTGCTAACGACGTTTTCCCAGTTACTGGTATTAAGATAGTAGCAGGTCCATACTAGCAGCGTTCCGAGGGCCAAGCACAGCTGAATTTCTGCCATTCCCGCAGGTTCATGTGCACCTGGGACCAGCCACACCCAAGTGGTATCAGTCAACAGTGTATCATGCAGTGTCTCTGTGTGTGTTTTTAATTCACGATTTCCTCTTGAAACTCAACGAAAGAGTGTTAACTGTGTGTGTTTTTTTTTAAATTCAGTTTTGTATGCTAGCATTCTTTAAATGTCTGCCAGAAGTTTAATTTGAATTTCTGATCCCTGAAGGCAGCTAGACAGAATCATTCTAGTTCTTCATAAATTGCCTTCTATGATTCATTGTTAACTCAAAAAACATACTCACTTCTATATTCTCAAACAGTTAAGGTAGTTACAGCATCAGGGATATAATTTTTTTTTTTTGCACTATCTTTAAATTGTCATTTGAGAAAGAAATCAAGAATTAGGTGAAACTCCCAGTTAAGGCATGAGCCCTGTAGCACAAAAAAAACCCAAAAAACAAAAAACAGAATTTATTGTTTTTTATCTCAAGGAGGGTAAGGTAGATGGCATAGAATCTGGAAAAAATAAAGTTTAGTTTTGACCGAATACTCTCAAAGAGCGGCCCATAAATAGTAGAGCACCGTAGTTAAAAACTCACATGACTGTTTTAAATACTATTGATTTAAACCACTGGCTAGATTTTATGAATCACAGTGTACTTTCTAAGCTTTGACCATATTTCTCAATGCTAAAGCACTCTCTCTTGTGTGCCTTTAGCCGCTCTCCAGACATTCAACACAGGATTAAATGATAGTAGTTACAGTGATCAATAGGTTAAGACCAGTACAATCACTCTTGCCGCTAATGACCTCAGTAGTAATGGCAATAAAGTGTGGACTATAATAGCCTCTCACTGGTGCTGCATGCCCTTTGATTCCTAGTATTAGTAGGGACTAGCTCCATGAAAAAGTTGGACGTTGGGAGTTAAGAGAGTGGATATGTGTAGCTCTCTTTCTTAACTATTTAAAACCTTAAACTGTGCTGTTTTTTGTGGGGTTTTTTCCCCCTTTTCTACCCATAGTGGTTTCTCGTCCATTTGGATATGTTTGTTAAAACCTTCCATAACCTATTTTCAAGACACGTTGGAGCAGAAACTGGGGAAATCTCAGTTTTATCACATTTATAAAATAAGGTCAGTCCCACTTTGGAGGCTTACAAGCGAACTGGTGTGAAAATGTGGTTTCAGATAGTAAAAGCAAAGTTGAGGCCATCAGCATTTAATACCCCACTTCTGGTTATTCAGAGACCCTATACCAGGCAGGAGGCTTACTCAGGCTTCTTGCCTCTTTCCCTCCTTTGGTTGTGCCTGCTGCTTGAGCATTTTATTACTCATCAGCACCTCCATGAAAATGTCCAAAGGGAAAAAGAAGAGGAGACTAAGTTCATTTGGCTGTTCAGTAACATGACTGCAAACATTGAATAAATAACCCTGGGAGAAGCACATTTAACTATTGGCCATATCCAAGGTTTTCAAAATTATCTGTATATGCCAGTCCTTTTTTTAACTTTTAAAATGGATTTTATTCAAGTATAATTTACATACAAAAAGATGCACTCAGTTTAAGGGTACAGGTGGAAGAATTTGGGCAGTTGTGTTCACTTGTGGGACTACCATCCCAGTCAAGGTAGACGGTATTTCCATCACCCTCAAAAGTTCTCTTGCTCCCCTTGTGAACATAGACTTTCCACGGTTCTTTTAAAAAATTGTGACCAAGAGATTATTTCTATGAAGACTTCTGTTACAACACTGTTAACTTCATGTTCATCACCCGTTTAGATCTTACACCACCCTATTCCTGTCTATTTTCCTGTTCATCACCATCAGAAATTTGGCTCAAGAATATTTATATTGTACGTCATCCAAGAAACGCAGAGGAAAAAAGAAACCTTAAACATGGTTCTTTTGTTTGCTTAATCAAACCTCCCTGTATGATGATGCAACTCTCAAGGAAAAGTAAACTTCTATTGTGATATGTTGGCTTTAGCAGCTCAAAAGATAGTGATTAGCACTTTTTGAAAAATTCAAAAAGTTTCTTGTGTGTGAAGACAAAGTAGACTAATTGGAATTAATTTATAGATGGTTAGATGTTTTGATAATGCCTTCTTGTGTTTGCCCTAGATTGAATGCAAGTTCACTGTTCTAATCATTGATGATATTTCATGCTGCAAAGTAGCTTTTTAAAAGGATAATTTATCCATTCATATACATCTGTCCCTTTTTGCATATAAAAATATTCAGACATGCCCATCTGTTTTAAATTACAGTGTATCTACATCTACACTTAAAAGGCCACTGCAATAGGAAGAATTCATTGATGACCTTCCAGAGTTAGGTTAATGAAATTTCTCAAATGTTCTAGCCGGTGTTTTCCAAACAATGCGAAACTTGCACATAAACATCCCCCCACACAAGACATGCCCACAACAACAGGGGAGGATGTTCACTGTACATGAATCTGACCTTCAGGAACCATTTTTAGTTCATCAAAATTAGTGATGCTGAGAAATCGGGACATCAGTGCATAATGACTGTGAAATTAGGAATGAGAGCTCGCTATGCAAATGACAGGACAAATCATGTGAAAAAGTCAAGATAAACTGCATATTAAGACATTATGTTACATAAAATTAATACTGCATTTCTCCCTTTTGCTTACTGCTCCCCTGAAAGATTTTTTAATTCTTTTATCTTCTGATCAGCTATTGTCTGCCAGATTTTTTTTTTTTAAGTGGCACACAGGCAAAGTGCAAAACATGTTATTACCTTTTATTGTAATACATGAGATGACAGGAGATCCTTTTTAACAAAGTATATCCTTTACTGCTTCTAGCTTCTTGCTGTCACATGTTTGATTAGAAACCAAAGAAAAGTAAGATGCTTAAATATTACTGTTAGAAGACATACAGGTTTTGTCTTTTCTTTCATTGTTTTTTTTTTTCCTTTCCTTATCTTTTTATTTGGTGGGGGCGATTTTTCATGAAATAGTCTTCTTGTATTACGGGGACTGACAAAATGGTTCTCATGTAGTCTGCAAATTAAACACAAGTGCAGTGATTATTTTGAATAGCTAAATTACATTCTAGAAAGCTTGCAGAATTCAGAGCATTGTCATTAGGTATCCGCTTGAATACAATTTGTGTAACCTTGGCCAAGACAGCCTGTCATTTTAATGTCAGTGTTTTATCTGAACAAGACATCATCCTTTCAGATACAGTAGTGCAGGTTCCTTGCAAAGATGCCCGTGCAGAAACGTGTTAACAGTTGCAAATATGAAATGCTATCAAGTTCATCACTGTAGCTGTTTGTCACTGAAATGTCATGGAAAGCAGCTTTTAATGGTATCACACGTAATATGAAAGAATGGAGACATCTGTGTGCTAGGTGAATAAGGAAGGGTAAAAGGCATCTTGGGAAAGGTCTGCATTGAAGTTCGCGAGGTGCGCCCAGGGTTCAGTCACCCACAAGACCAAGCATTCATTGATTGTCCTTAAAAAATCACTGTCCACAGAGGAAGTGGATCAGAGTAGCTCCTGCCGAGAAGGTGCTGGTTCCCATTTGCCTTGTTCCCTAAAACACAATTCAAGTTTGCCTTAAACTTCCTAGCGCTGATGGCCACCGAAAACTCGTGCTTCGTAAGAAATCGAGATCATCCCCACCTAACTCCAGATAGCATTTGTTAAGTCTTTACTCCTTGTCTGCCTGCAAGGCTGTCTGGGCACCTGTCATTGCTGCGAGGTCTTCTTTTGTTTTTCTTTTATTTCACATAAACTCCGTAAGAGATGAAATAGGATTTGTTGCTGCATCCCCTCTGGATAAAGACACTGTGCGTGGGGAACTGGTCAGTTCTTGGAGCAGGCTCGTGACCGTCTGCCGCTGACCCCAGAAGGCTGAGTGCTGCGTGCATGCGATTTCCTGGCTTCCTATTTATCCTTCATTAACGTTCTAGGTTCCCGTGTCAGTGGCTATGATGACACCTCAAGTTATCACTCCCCAGCAAATGCAGCAGATCCTCCAGCAACAAGTGCTGAGCCCTCAGCAGCTCCAGGTCCTCCTCCAGCAACAGCAGGCCCTCATGCTCCAACAGGTAACCGTCCATCCTCCTCCTCCCAGGGCCGGTGACTCCATTCGCCATTCCCTGCGCCTGATCCGCTCCTTTGCCCATTGTAGAAAAAGCAGAGCAGGGTGGCTGGGGCAGGACACCGAGCGGGCCCCTGAAATAATCGATGTCCTTTGCATCCCAGGAAGCAGAGGGACCCCTGCCAAAGCGACTAGGGTTCGGGCCTGGAGAGTACCCGATGGACTGAGATTAGGGCTGTAATTGGACTTGGTAGATACAAGATCTTTTAGGCTTATGTGGCTTTACACTCTTTTATTTGGTAAGCCCAGAGGCCTCGAAATGGTGTGAATCAAAGCAAAATGGGGAGCACGTTAGGAGCAGGTTTAAATGTGACAGCTCTTGAAGTCCCCATTTCAACTCAGAGGCTCACAGAATTTTTCTTTTAAACATCAAGAGACATCCCGGAGTTGGTTACTTTTAAGGTGCAGAGTTCACTTTCCTTCTTTCATGTATGCTGATGCAGAAATGAACTTCTGGCTGCCACGTGCCACAGGAACCTCACATTCAGACTTCCCGGACCCCCAAACCAAAAAGATGCGATTCAGAACTAGAGTGACAGAAGTTGCCAGGGTGAGGCGGTGGGGACCAGAGGCTGAGCGAGCTGCCCATTCTGTTGATGCAGACGCTGAACACCCCACCACCCTGCCCAGCCCCATCCTTCCGAGAGTAGGCACGCTTTCCAGGGTAGAGATTCACCAGACTCTCTCAGCAAGGGCACTGGGGCTCTGTTGTCCAATCAAAGGTCATCCTTTGCCTTATTTTAATTAGTTTGTGTAGAAAATGGTATGTTTTTCATCAGGTCATTTTGGAGATTAGTTTTCAAACGATAATGCCAAGAATAGTCAGGGTGCGCTGAAATTTATTGTCGAGTTTCAAAGTAAAGGTCAGGCCATTCCAGATAAAAGGATGCTGTTTTTCAAATCGCAGTTGTGTGTGGCACCACATCGGGACAGTGGGCTGGCGGTACCCTCGGTTACTTACTGTCCTCTCTTTCCTTTGTAGCAGCAGCTTCAAGAGTTTTATAAAAAACAACAGGAACAGTTGCAGCTTCAACTTTTACAACAACAACATGCTGGAAAACAGCCTAAAGAGGTACCAACAATACATATTTTACTTTCAAACCACAGATCCCAGAGGACTGTCTGATGGCTATTAAACTGTCATTCATCTCTTAAATGATTGCACAACTGAGCTATCGGTTCGCAGCTCTCAGACCAAGAGTGATCGTCCTGTTGTTCTCTGAGATTTTTCTGGGTTCCGTTTCGTGGCTGCCACCTCTCCGGGAGCAGCGCTGCAGGTGTCCCCTTGGGGAGCACCAGGAAGCGGGATGGTGGGCCAGACCGTCAGGGCTCCTCCCGCGGGCGGGCTGAACGGTGGGCCGAGGTGCACCTGCTGCTAGCACAAGCGTACTTGGACCCGTGCTTGAGATTTTCTCCAGCTCAGACAGCCTGGGGGCGTGGGGATGGCCCTTCCCTTTGGAAGAATCCGCTCTTGTGAGGTTGGACAAACAGAAAAGTTTGACCAAGAAATGGTCGCTCCTATCTCTGTGTTCACTTTTTCTCGCAAGTTAGACACGTTTGGTAATTGCTCAAGGCAGGCGTGAGATGGTGCCACTTACAGGGAAGACTCCTCTGAGCTTGGATGATTTGTGTGTCCCTGACAAAAACCAGTGTGGCACGATGGCTTCCGTGGGCCCAGCACTTTGTAAGAGCACACACACAGTTGTGGCGCCAGGCCCCACCACCCAGTTAGGTGACCGTGTTAGCTCCAGACGCGGGACGGCCTTCCCAGGGGAGGTGTCCGCGTCTCACGTCCCGTACGGTTCCATGTCAGCGAAGACCAGGCCGTTGGGGGAGCGTCTGTGTGCGTGTGGGCATTATCATGCCATCTTCCTCCTGATTTCAGAGTTCCCCGATGTCACTTAGCTCCTCACGTTTTGACCGTGGACTGGAACACTTTTCATGTGAGTGTTCTCCTCGGAATGCCACAGTTTGTAGTTTGGAAAACAGCTCCCGGCCCCCTTGCACGGCCTCCTCGCTGGCCCCAAGCAGGCGGCCACTTCCGTTGGTTTGGAAGGAGCCTCGCTCGACGACTCTCCACAGCCCTGTCCCTCACGTGAGCGTGGATGGCGGGCCGCGCTCACGTTCCATGCTGGGAATGGCCCCGGCCGGCTCCTTCCTCAACAGAAACTGGGTGCTTTATCCATGCCCTGCCAGCTGTTCGCCCTGGAGTCCTGTTCAGCAGCCTGGATGGCAACCCCTGCAGAGTCGGGGCAGTTTGGGGGTGACGGGGAGGAGGTGCTTTCATGAAAATGCTGACACAACCCTTAAGTACAGTGGCGCGCTACTGGGGGCTGCTATAATAAAAAAGGGAACAGATTAAAAAGTGTCTAAAATGTAAATCTAAAGGACTAACAGTAATTAAAATGGAAATGGCGCAGGGAGGGAAGGCATGTAATTGTGAGATATCACTGTGCAGAAGGCTCTCAGCTTTGTTTTGCTGGCTGTTTTTCTAATTCAGTAGGGCTTACTCATCAGTGGCAGTTCAATGCGCGTTAATGACTCTGGGATTGCAGGCATCACTCTGGACAAAGAAATGATTATTGTGCGGTCAAAAGAAGTTCAAAGACAAGAAGGGAATTTCAGTTTTTTCCTTAGAGATCCACATTCAAGAGCATATAAATTAAGCCAAATGTTAAAAACCACAGTCTGAAAGCTGACTTCAAAGTCGCAGCTCTCTAATTAATGAACTGCGAGCTTCAGTTTGGACAAGTTGTGGTTTGATGCGCCCATAAATCAACATGACAGGCCTGTTTCACGGTCTCAGACAGTGCTTGTCATTGAGTCACATCAGATGTAAACACAGCAGAAAAAAGAAGGGACATGAAGGAGGTGCAGTTGATCAACAGAACTGGTAAAAACCCACTTCTGAAGCACATTATGCATGATCACAGGAAATGGGTACAGCCTCCAGAGGTTTCCCCTCTGCTGTTGCTTTGTTGAATCAGATTTCTAACAGCCTTCAAAAGGGAGGATAAGAATTGCGGAGTTTCTCCCCTGTGGCTCACAGGCAATAACCCCCTGTTGTTATTTTGTGCTTCTTCCTTTTCAAAGGCATCAAAATTTAGTTTTTTAAAGATCTTTAACTCTATATTTGAAGACAAACAAAAAAGGGCTGCCACTGTCATTCTTATCAGTTACCAGGGATTGTGTTTTTTCTTTCTGTTGCCACTTCTTATTAACCTCTTATTTGGTCTGTTAGACAGAGTTTGGAATGCACGTCTGCACGCTGAGAGAACAGGAAAGTTGAGATGAGCTCAGAGGGCAGATAAAGAAACGTGAAGGGGAGAGTTACACAGCAGAAGGAAGGATAAAAGTTAACTCTCCCAAACTGCTGCTGTCAGAAAGGGGGCATCTTGATGATGGTGGTGCCTGAGTTTGGGAAGGGAGTACTTTGTATCTGAACCAGGAGAAGGCGGGACATTATCTATGGCAGCCTTTCAGCGTCTGTCTCTAGGACTTGAGGTTTGCTGTGGTCACGTTCTGTCATCCACTTCCAAGGCAAAGGGGATAGAAGAGAGAGGTTTGCCTTCCCATCCTGAGGGGTAGGCAGACCGGCGGGCAGGTCCCCTTGGATCCCGCTGTATGTTCACCGTGCCAGTGGATTTGGCTGAGAGCTTGTGTAACGGTGATTAAGAGATCCTTATTTTCCTGAGGTAAGGGGGCAGGCTCCTGAAATTATCATGCAGGTGGTGGTCCTTTCGTGCTACAGTGAAACAGAGTCACATGGTAGCAATTTCACGATGTGGACTGGTGGTTCTGATTTTAACAAGGTTTGAACTTGGATGTTGACAGATGGAACAAGTGTATTAATTTACTGAATCCCCAGTCATTAGTGGCTCATAATTTTGAATCGTCAGCCCCCCCACCCCCGCCGCCACCGCCACCACCCTTTTCCCTGTTCTAATTACCTCTGCAGTAAGACACTTGATCCTCAGCCAGAACAATGTACCTTCACTCAACTTTTTTCTAAAGTTGCCTCGAGATGTTTCCTTGAGAAAGTTAGGCTCCCCATTGAGTTGGCCCTAAGACCTTCTGTAGGAGATAGATCTTCTGTAGCCCCATACAGCTAGTGAAGTGACTGCCCGTTAATATTTGACAGAACGGGTGTGGAAAATTGAAGGCAGAATTAATTTTCAGTCGAGCTACAGAAAAAGGTCCCATCCTGTGCGGGTGAGGTAGGCTCAGTTGATTGTTTTAAGAGGGCCGTTTGTCCGGGTAGTTATGACAGTTTATGTTAGGCAGCAGGGAGGAGCCGAAGAAAGGAAAACAGACCTTTGACTGCAGCTCTAGGGAGGGGATCTGAAATGCAAGGTTTATCAGGGCATTTTAGCATTTTAACACTGACTACTGACCTGTCCAGGGGACTGCGCGGAGACCTTTTTTGTATGCATTCAATTGTGAGAAGTAAACAAACGGGCTCGTATCCTGTGTTTGGTAACTGGGTGGGGAGCACAGTTTGGCAACCAGTGTTGCTTTTAAATTCTTTCTTTGGACAATGGGCCTTGTATACTTTTATATCCTGACTTTTCAAACGTGGACAGCTTTCATGAGCTTTTCCTAGGGATGGCCGCAGAGACAACAGAAAAGCCATCAGTCATTTTATATAAATACAAAATTTTTAAACATTTCATTTACAGTAAGACAGGAAACACCCTCCCCAAACTCCAGCACCCCCTCTCCATTCTTTTCTACTTCAAGAAGAGCTGGTTCCCCGATCTTTTATTGTATCCAGGTTGTTTTTTTCTCTTCCTTCCTTCTTCTTCTTCTTCTTTTTTTTTAAGTGTCATGAATTAATATCTGTTGAAGAAGTAAAAAAATCATTTTGACATGAGTATAACTATCACTGGGTTTTACATTAATGTGATAACATGGGAAGGGGTGAAAACAATTGGATCATTTTATGCATGCTGTTCGTAAAATGAAAACACTGGCTTTCCATTTAAATTTATTTAAATTTTTGTTGTTAGTGGTATAGAATTTGTTTTTTGGAGTGAAACTCAATTAACTTTCTCAGTGGCATGGTAGTAAGTCTGAAATTGGTTGCTAATAGGAGAATGATGGTTTTTACTGTAAAATAAACTGCACGGAGACCGAAAGGAAACCACCATTTTTCTCTTCCTTTGAACTTGGCATCAGAAGGTCTTGATACACATACCATTTTATGGATGTATCAGATCAAGGTCATGTGTTAGGTTAAGTGAATGCAGTTGTTTGTAAAGTATAGTTATTAGAAGCTCTGAAAGGGTTGTACAGTCCCTTTTAGTTGCAGAAGTCTTCCTGATGTTTTGAATGATACTCAGAATTAGGAAAACGGATCTTTTTTTTTTTTCTTAAAGAATCTTTTTTTTTTTTTTTTTTTGGCTACAGTTTGGGAAGGGTTAATTCTCCTTTCGTAATTGTTAGCCATAATGTGGCTAAGACCTCCACCTCGATTTGATTCCTAGCAGATTAAGGATATTAGATAATTTCCTTCTATTTATTGTACTACTGCACTGTATTATCTTTCTATCACTCAGATAATTACTGAGGAAATCTACATTAATTTTTTTTGGCTGGAGCGAGGCCTGCTAAACACAGGAATGATGTATTGATGTTTTACACAACAAAAGTTTTCCTCCTGTCATTGTCCAATCAACAAAAAGATATTTATCATACCGTAAAGCCCCTTCTTTTCAAGAACAAAGCGGGTGGGGAAGCAGGACAGGGGAGCCCGACCTGGGGGTTTCTGAAACTAAGGCCAAGTTAAGGCATCTGAAGCTTAAAGTGTCCTTCACATTAAACACTCAACAGTCGAGTACAATGTTGTTTGCTAAATTATGAATGTGTGTAATTAAAATCTAGTGGCTGTTTCTATGAAAGATTTACAGTGTTATTTCATCGTTTGTCATGGCTAATTAACAATATTAGATGAAGTTTTTCTTCTTCAAAGGTCTGATTTTGTCTCATTTATTTATGTCGGGAGTGATAAACAGAGTAGTTTAAAAGCTCCTGGTGCAGGCAAGAGGAAGGCGGCTGGCTCTTCCGAACTCTCCGTGGTTCAGGGTTCAAATCCCTCCAGACCGGAATGGTGCCTGCCTTCTCTGTGGCGTGAATCATTAAACATTTCAAAGTCTGGACGGTCACATCTCGACCAGAAACACTCAGGCCTTTCAAACTGGAGGAAAAGCTGACTTGATGGGCGAGTTATTTTTCTGTGCCACTGGCAGCAGAGGGGGGAGTACACGCAGCCCCCCTCCACACCCACACCCCCCCCATGCTCTTCAGATGCTCTGTGTCCTGTCCCTGTCACACCAGCCCTGACAACCAAGCCCTCCACTAGACCCCAGCCGCCATCGTCGGTGCCTGACGGCGGCGGCGGCGTGTTTTGAAACGTCCGTCCTCCGAACCTTGCTCGGGAAGTGGCCGGCTCATGTTCTTTCTCCCTGATTCCTTGCAGCAGCCGCAGGTGGCCACCCAGCAGCTGGCCTTTCAGCAGCAACTCCTCCAGATGCAGCAGCTGCAACAGCAGCACCTCCTGTCTTTACAGCGCCAAGGCCTTCTCACCATTCAGCCAGGGCAGCCTGCCCTTCCCCTCCAGCCGCTCGCTCAAGGTAAGCGTCCGTGACGCGGCAGGTGCCGCCCCGCCCAGACGGCGGGGCCAAGGCGGCGGGCTGTCTGGTGGTGTACCCCAGCCCGTCAGTGAGGACGTGGTCCATCCAGAACAGCACACACCAACTTCAGAGGCAAGGCTGGATGAGGTCCTGAGGGGGGAGCTTCGTAGAAGCCGAAGGGCTTGTTCATGGATGCCGAAGTGAAGACCTACGGGGTGGTCTGATGCTGCGCAGTAGCAGAGGAATCCCACCCTGGCACATTCTTGGGCTAGGGGAAAGCAGTGCGACTTTGACTTACGGACCATTTCAGTCCGACCGAGCATTGTCCGTTTGGAATCCCAGGTGAATTTTCTTGAAGGCTTTTGTTGAGCCGGTGTAAGGTATATTTTCTATCGTTGTAACTCGTTCTGTTGTAAAGCTGAGTGATGCTTTTGAAAAGCCACTCTTTCAGTTCTCGGGATAAATTCGGGTTTATTCTCTATGCTAAGAGTAATCTCTTTTGATGGCTTTTCTTTTCTTTTTTTTTTTTTTTCCATTGCTTGTTTGCATTCGTCTGTTGGTTTTTTTGAGCACGTTCTATACTCATGAGAACAGGTAGCACTTCTACCTCTTGCTCTTCAAAAACTAGAGTTCCTCGAGAAGCAGCAAGATTTCATGGATTTAAAGATTTCTTTTGAAAAGCCACTGATGTGTTATTACAGTGGGTGTTGGACATCAGAAACAAAAGAGGATTTCTAACCGTTTTAGGATATCCTCATGGTTTAAGCAACCCTTTGACATGTGTAATGTGAATGCACATGGATTATTCAGAGCCAGAATGCAGAAGGTATGGAAGGAAGGGAGTGTCATGCTGTGTTTTGAAATACAACTCCCCTGTCCTGTACATGCACAGCACATTTCGGTCCCCTCCTCAAGAACCTTGGGCTTGACAGTTGCAGTAGGCTCGGATGTATGTGTATGGGCCTTAAAGGCTGGTAGCTAATGCCTTTGGTGTCTTGGATTCAGTTGCCTTCTGAAGCGGGTTGAAAATGTGGTACCTTCTTCATGGTGATTAAGACATGCTCATTTGTTCAGCAACTTTCAGTGTCGAGTGGAGCCAGTGAGGCATGTCTACATTTGAATCTTCTCTTGAGTCAGCCACGCCCAGCTTAGATCTCTTCCGGGGTTTTCTGTTTTGGTTTATGTTTTCAGTGTTGAAACTGGGCTTTCTCCTCTAATGTCCCTCCTGGCCCTCCTCCCCTTTTTGCCATTACTTACTGTTTGCCTACCGGATACATAATCAGCATCTCCATGGCTGTCAAAATAGAAGATTTGGTAACAGAGCAGTACGAGGGGAGAAGAAAGGACACATCGGCTAATGCATTTTTGTGCTTGCAAAATGTTATAATGTGCATTAATTACACCTTCGGGTTTATTGTTAGAAACCTCGCAGGCTGTTCCGACACACCCATTGGACTCAGGCTTCAACCTCTCATCTTTTCCCACTGCTCCTATACTATTAAGTTTGCTCACTAAGGTTCATTGTTATAGTACATCAGTTAAGCTGTCCAAAAGAGGGCAATTGGGCAGTGACAAGACAAGCCCATGTGTAATGTGAAAGAAATGAATGTGGTGATGCATGAAGTGTAATCTCTGCAGTAACATATCAGAGACACCAGTAGGTAATTCACTGGTCATGGCATTGATTGATATGCCTAGCAATCTGCTATAACTATTAGCCCCTGCAACATTAGGAAGGAGCATATTTAACATCTAAGGGGTGCCCTGATGTGTGCCCAAGATACCTAAATGTAAATACGATATTTCGGAAGTCAGGTTGTGGCGGCAAAGTGAGCTCCCAGTGTCATTGCCATCTTCTGTGGGATCCGGAGGTTGGTTCTGTCTCTCCTGTCCCCTTGCCCAAAGTGGCTCGAGAATTCAGTCATGTTGGACTACAACACAATTTTTTTCTATCAGAGACATGATGGCTTAAAACTGATGTCATTATGAGGTTTAAATCAACTTTCTGCTTGCTTGAACATGGTCACCTGGGTATGGATGTACAAGGACAAAAAAAGGTTGATCAACTCTGTTTGTCTTTGAGCCAGTGATACCTGGGGTTGTAAAATTGAGTTCCATGAGCAGTAATCTGTCAACTGTCCCCACAACATACATTTTTTAAGCCAGTGTCTGCATTTTCTTTTATAATGAAGGGGTCGGTTGTCCTGGAAAAAGGAACGTAGCAAGGCACAGGGGCTAGGTGTTAACGGTAATGGCCACTTCGTGACACAGTCGTCGCGATTCTTTGACGTACCTGCTCATGGCCTTGGCTAAGTCACCTCAAACGTGTAGAAATGTGAAAGTATGAAAAGATAGAAAGTAATATTTCGAAGGCCTTTTTTTTTTTTTCCTTTCCTGAAGGCTTTATGGTATGAAATGGAGGGACATTTTTGTTGTTGTTAAAAGAGTACTGCAGGGTCTTCTCTGTTTTACGTAATTAGCACATACGCTTTTCTCCCTGGTCTCTTGAGGATGCTGACCCCCTGACGTTCAATATCATCCTGACCTCTTAATTTTGAAAATATGAACTAGAGATTACATGCTCGAGATATATATATATATATATACCTGTTAATGAATTAGGTTAAACATAACCTGGTACTGTTATTCCTGTCTACCATATTGGAGGAAATACGTGATGCTTTTTGGAAATTTGCTATCCATTTAGTCTGATGAGTGACTAGCCTGCCTTTTATCTGTCTTAATTCTATCACGAGACCATGGCTGTCAAATAATAGCATCCTCCAGTAGATAGTATGCAGTGAAGTAATAGTTTAACATTGCTAACAAGGTGTATCATTGATGGAGGAGAATGATTTGACTGCTCTCTGTAAGTCTGATGAGAATGTTCTCAAACGTAATTATCACAGTGAAATTTGACCCAAAAGTGCGCCTGTTGTCAGCGAGTTACTGTTTTATTTACCATTTCCTCTTGTGAGGGATGAAACTGATTGGCCAGCCCCCTGGAAGAAAAGGAGAGCAGAGTAACATTAATGTACTCTGTAGGTGTAACAAGTGTAACCAGACATTTGCCTTTGCCTTTATTTGCTGGATACATAGCTCATTTCTAAAACAGCTCCAAAGTTCCGCTTTTCTTGGAGGGAAAGTGTTAACACAGTTGTTAGAAACCGTGTTCTTCCATTTTTTTCACTTCCCATGCAGCTGACCCAGAAATCAATTAGTTTGAGTTGAAAAATGGGAGGCTTGTTCTTTTCATGTGTATTTACTCCCTAGAAAATAAAAATAGGTGTTGACTTGTGTGGCTTTATATCAATATGCTATCATCAACAGACAAGCCTATTCACTATTGTTTCATTTGAGTAAACAGTGGTTGGAGGGTCAGCCCCGTTCACAGGTAGTTGTTGGTGTGCGGACATCAGGGCAGGCCGGTTAGCTGCACACACATCCCACATGTCACTTTGGAAGGTGTTGGAAAATAATAGCCCAGATGCAGCAGAACCGGACACGGGCTTGTGGAGTGACCTTTCCCTTTGTTTAATTTGCCTCTGAGGCTTAATTTCAGGGGACAAGTAATAATTGAATATGCCTAATAACTAAATGCTCATTTGGGACAAAATCCATCAAAATATAATTGGCATTTGATTTTTATGAAGGGAGAAGAAAACCGACTTGGCTGTCGAGGATGCGTCCTAAGGATATCTGACCACTTAATGTATCATTTGAAACCTCCTTCTATAATATATATTAATTGCAAATACTTGAGCATTTGAACATTTTCGTTGAGAAACGTTAGGAGAGACCCAACTGTTTTTGTTAACGCTCCTCTCAGAAAGGCGGGGAAGGTTATTGGTCTGCTGTGCAATAATTTACTCCTCTTTGATATGCAAACGATCCACGGTGAATATAAAAAAATCCTATCAGACTCATTTCACAGTTCTTAACCACTCGGATTCTCTGGAGTCCATCGCCTCATTAGACCAGTGCTCTCCAATGCTAGCATAATTAAAATCTTTAACAGTTTAGCAAAGTAAAGATGTTTGGCTGATCACGTTGAGATGATTATCTATCCATTGTATTCTAAATGACAAAAATAAATTAAATTTAGACCTTGGCATTTTTTATTATGTGTTTCAAATGAATATAATGCACACAGCCTTCTTTTTTAATTCAATAGCTTAGGTTTGGTAAGAAACACGCCTGTTCGGGTGCTGCTATGTAGTCAGAAAATGGCAGGCTTTCTAGGATAGCTGTGTTACAGTTGACTGAAACAATGAACTGCAGTCCAGACATCCAGTTCTCATGTGGAATTGCCTTATGCTGCACACACACACAGGGTTGACGATTTCTTTTAGCTGTCCTTTTGAAGGAACTGTTGTTGTTTGTTGTTGTTAGCTGCTATTTAGAATCTTTTTCTTCTGTGCATGCGTGCGCCAGCAGATGCACTGAGGTGGGTTCTGGGAAGCTTGGGCTGTAGAGGCATGCCTCCAGAATTAAGGTTATGAGGCCGTAGTAGTGAGATTGACATACTGATTGTATCTCCTCTGGGGGAAAATACAGGTTTGACCCTTCCTCCTTAAGACCCATGTCCATTTTGACCCCCTTAAGAAACAAGAGAACTTTATCACTCGCAAGTTTATTTTACGTTTGCATTTTATTCTGCAATGGTTCATTAGCATTGATCTAAGAAATGACAGTAATAATAGTGTTACTTGTTAAAAAAAAAAAGTTACACAGTTTTTCAGTAGACACATCCATCAATTAAGCATGTGGTACTAGAAACCAAAATTAATGAGGAAGATAGGTGTGTTAATGAAATAATCATAGTATAATCAATTTGAATGTTAAAAGTTGAAAAGCATTTCAGGAAGACGATACAAATTCATAATTTATGTCTAAAAGTGATTAATAAAAACTATATTTAATAACAAAGCTATTTGTCATCATTTACGACTTAAGCACAAAAATTATTCATTTTGTGGTTTGTGTTGTCATAATAGTATAGTTGAACAAATTTATTTCGAGCCCTTCTTTGTGTCTAAAAATACAATAACATCTATCTACTCCTTTTCAAAAATCTAGAAACAACAGTTTGGATGGAGGCATACTGTCTTTGCAGAGTAACTGTGTTTTGAATCCTTTTCACGGAGGTCTTTTATGTGTGATGAGGGCACTTCAACTCGGCTGGCTGTTCAGTGGGAGGACACGGTTGTTACTACCGTATTTGCCTTAGTTGGGAGGGGAAAAAAACGCACACACCAAAAAAAAAAAAAAACCCCTAACACTAGGCTTTGTTTACTGACTCTTTGATTTAATTACTGTTTGAAGAGGACGGAATTAGCTGTTAATTGATTTAATTATCCAATTTGTTTGTTTCAGGCATGATTCCAACAGAACTGCAGCAGCTCTGGAAAGAAGTGACAAGTGCTCATTCTGCAGAAGAAACCACAGGCAGCAATCACAGCAGTTTGGATCTGACCACGACATGTGTCTCCTCCTCTGCACCTTCCAAGACCTCCTTAATAATGAACCCACATGCCTCTACCAATGGACAGCTCTCAGTCCACACTCCCAAAAGGGAAAGGTAGGAATGAGCCACTGAGATGCGTCTGGAACGGTCTTGAATGTGGAAGGGGTGGGTGGCCTTGCGCCGCCATATCTCAGAGATCCCTAATTGGATCCATGTGACTTGAATGTGCATATAATTACTTAAGAATGTGTTCAATATGGTTTGGGTGTGAAGCATCTAATTATTTTCACCTTTTCAACATGGAATTAGCACTTATGCAGATCTAACCTACGCCTAAGAACCCAGGCAGAGTTCGTTTCTCACTGGATAGGTTGGATTTCAAGGGTTCCAAGCTTACTCTTCATGCCCAGTGCTCACTCCATGCAAACCGAACGTCTGGGCTCTAAACACCTCCTGAGGAGTAGTAGAGTCTGGTATTGGCAATTCTGAATCACACTTCAAGAAAAGGTAGAGAGCTTAGCCACTACGTACTGCCCTCCTTGAAGGCAGGGAGACTATCTTTTGCATCGTTGTGCCTCCAAAGAACATGGCCTTTTTCCTGGTCAGTGCTCAGTGAAGTTTGGAAGGATGGGAGGTGGAAGGGGTCTTTGTATGTGTGTACATGATCCACGTCTATACACACAAATTTAAAAAATAAAGTCTTAACTCCCGAGGAGGAATGCAGTGCTGTCTCGGTCGCCGTATTCCTCTTTGGAAGTTAAGATTTTATGTACTGTAATTGCCCTCAGCTTTGCTTGAGTGTTAGCCGAAGCCGAGTCTGTTTGAGATATCCAGAATACATCATGTTAGCAGACAGTTCTAAGAAAATGAAGCTGTTAATTCATGTTATTGGATCCTCACACCCCAGAAGCATTAATACTACTGTTGAATGCTTTTCAGAAGTGGAGTGTATATATATAATGCTCCTAAAATTAAAAACTTTTATTTTCAATGTACTATTTTTAAACGGTTTCCCATCTATTTCATATGCACAGCTTCCCCACACAGAAGAAAAGAAACTTTCAAAGTAATGTGTGATAGTAAATGTCACTTCCAGCAGGAAAAACAAATTCTATATTTTGTTTTTTAATAAAATGACTCAGTGAAAGTTTTTTTAATGATATTTTTCACTTGAGCAATTACAAGTATAATTTCATACCTTTCTTGAACTATTGAGCATTAAGAAGCCCATGGGTTTAATTAGATGTGTATCTTTCTACCAGCAACATTTTATCCGTTTCAAGATCCATAACCACAGAAAATGCTCTCTGAATATCTCTGCCTGTGTGGGCTTGTGTCCCGGGCAAGCGTAAGAACGTGAGAGGGTTCTGAGAGGTGAGGATAATAGATGTTTTAACCAAAACTTGCTGCTATCCTTTTAAGATGATTTTGGAACTTCTGTGGCAGACATTGGCGAAGTAAAAGATGTTTTAAATTTCCTGTTCAGAAGAATTCGAAGGATAGAATGGTGGACAGTAAGAATCTGTGTGGAGCCATTGGGCCAAATGTAGCTTCTGTTGTTCCCAGTGAGGATAGCTTTGTACGTCTGGAAGCCAGTCTATGCTCTGCTTTATCACCTCTGACAGTGTCTCTGTAATTAAAAAATAATACTGAACCTTAGAGAGCTTTAAAGAAAAGGTTCTAGGTTGTTGTCCTTTGCTCTACTTGCTTTTGGTGTCTAAGGTTGATGCTGTCCATTTACCGTGGAGTGATTGAATTACCTCTTGATCCATAGGCAGAACAGGCCATCCACTGAAAAATGCCGACCGATGCACTTCAGGTATTTGTTGCCATCTTGCCGGCCATTGTGGAGCCTGCACAGATTTCCTGTGACACAGAAAACTCTTCTTGTTTAGATGCGCTGTGCTCGGTTTCATCATAAAAGGGTCTGTATCTGCAGTCAGGTGACAGATTAGCAATGAGGCAGGTGGGAGAAGAATAGCCCTTTTCATGTCTTAAGGTGTATTTGAAAGTAAAGGGATCTAACAGACAGTCTCATTCCAGGAGAATAAGTTTGTTTGAATTGTTTTTATGATCCGCACACCAGTGAGGCTTAATCTTCATTATACTACGTGCCGAAATTAGAATATGGATCAGAGAAGAATTTGGGTTCTACTGAGCTGTAATCTGGCTGTAAAAACAGGCTGAATTTTCCAGTTACATATGCAAAGAACAAGCAGCTATGAAATTATATGCCACTCCTTAATATCTTGGATCTCTCAGTTTATAGTACCGGGTAGGTTCCTAGTTGTGGCTGAATTAAAAGAAAATTCTGGTTAGCCTGTTTTAGCTGAATGTAGTGAACAAGACAAATGAGCACCTTAGGTTAAAGATAATTCAAAAGTGAGAAACTTAGAGAACTGATCATTAAAAATTCACTTACTGGGTAGCAAGCTTTGTGTACATACAGATACTTATAATGAGGTTCTGTCTGGTTTTACCTTAGGATTTATTTTGAAATCATCAGTGTGATACTCTGTGTAAGTAGCGGAAAAATGGTAAAAAAGCGATCACTATAAAAATGTTCTCACTGACTTGACGTTTGTCACAGGGGTCCCTTGGAGAAGTTTCGTCCCTTACGCACCAGTGCATTTGTGAAATACGTAACTTTGCAGACTTACCATTGATTTCCGTGTCCTGTTCCTTCCCTCGCTCCGTTCTCCCAGAGCAGTATCTGAACAAGCCAGAGCCTCTGCCACACTGAATAATAATCTAGCCCTTCAAACTCAATCTTAGGTGAACAGCTTACGAATTCTTCCTCAAAGGATTCAGGAATGCTCCGTGTGAAGCTGTGTTGGCAAAAGGCAGTATCCTAAGAGTTTTTGTGTTTTTAAAGTAGCGAGAGGTCTCCCGGTCTCACCTAGCTAGGCTGCATGTTTCTGTGCGTTTGGAAACTGCCCGCTCCCCCACTCTTGCCCCCATGCGCTTTGCGGGCTCCTGTGAGCTGCGCCGTAGCAGCAGCTCTGGGGTTTGGTGAGCTGCAATCTGTTAAGGAGATAAATAATGTGCTTGGCACGACACTCCTACTCTCCTCTTTAATTTGTCTTACACAAGGAAAATTATAATTAAATCATTCAGGGTAAACCCTTGAGTGTAGAGAAGGGAAAGAACACACTTCGGTAAAGATTGCCAATAGAAACCCACTTCCCTGTTGCGCAGGGTAGAGACATTTATCAGTATTCAGCACTATTACGAGAGGAACGGCCCATGTGATTTGTGAGGCGGATGCCAACACTCAAATCAAGGCTTGTTAAGATCCTGTCCCTGTGCAGTCACGGCCATTCAGCATCATTAGAATTCAGTACTGGCGCTGGGCTTCGTGCTTTGATTTTCGTCCGGCAATTTAATAATGTTTATTGTGCTGATTATATATAAATTCATTGGTGCAATGAACATACCTCGGTTGCCAGTGCCTGAGAGAAGCGTGGCGAAGGTGAAGTTCAGCGGGCAGAAGCTAAAGGGGGGAAGCAGGCATGTTCTCGTCTCCCACTGCCAATTTATTCCCCAGGACCCAGGGAGCCGTGACATCGTAGACAAATAGATAAAACTGAGACCTGGGTTACCTGTGAACACGAAGCTATCCTCTTGTTCCCTTTCACTTGTCTGACTCTCTTGCTTTAGGAAATTCCAAGTTTTGGTGTGGGTAAACAAAATCAATGGAATGCAAATGAAACATTTATTAAAATGCTAAATTTAGTAAAGCCCTTTGAGCTTCTTGGATCAAAGCAGCTATGTAAATACAAATAGCAATTACTACTTAAGTAATTGCCTGAATTAAAATTCTAAATATCCGATTATATTATGGTGCACTAGGGAAAGGGAAGGGAGCTCACACGTCCTCAGTTCTTTCTCTGTGCCAAGCACTGGCTACACTCTTGTTTTTGGAGTGATGTCTCATTTTATCCTCGTGACCGCTGGGAAGCAGTACGGGTTATTATACCCATTTTACAGACAAGGAAATTGAGTCACAGAGACTAAAGAACTGACCTATGGTCACAGAACTGGTTAGTGTGTGTCCAAGATCCAAATGCAAGCTTGTCTCTTAACTTTGTAAGACAGCACTTAGAGTTTTCATTCGGCCTAGAGGTGATTATTTAATTAAGATAAATTGAAAGCAGTGTTCCTAAAATAAAGTTTAATTTAAATCCAACAAAACATGCATTTATTTCACCTACTGTGTGCACATCAGCACATTTTAAAGGAAAATAGCAGACTTCCCTCTTTTAAGGTGGATAGTGGTATTGGGCCTTCCAAGAAGGAAGGGGGGCGGGTAGGATTTGCAGAAGGTACATCACTTATAGTCTGAAACAGCACATAAAGAACAAAAATGAACCCCAAGCCGGCTTTACACACAGGCAAATGCCAGACAAGCCTCCCTCTCTCCCTTCTAGCCTCGTAGATCTCACGCTTCCACATTGAACACCTCCTCTGGTCTTTATCCTACTTTGCCTGTCCTCCGTAGTCCATATGGAAGAGACTCCTCTTCTCTGACCCTTCCCAGCTTTTTGCTTTCAGTTCAGCCACCATGAGTAGATGTTTGCTAACTTGAGCATGTCTCAGATTCAAAGCCCTTCTAAATGTGCATTTCAAGACTTCCTTAAGCATCTGGTGGAAGAGGTTTCTTCGAACTCTGGAAGGATCATGGCGGTCCGTTGGTCAGGGTCCATTGGTCGGTGTCCATTGCTCAGCCTGCTGTCCCCTAGAGGCTGCCCTCCTGTTCCGAGAATCAGGGTGGCCCACATCGGGCCCCTGCCCTGCGAGGTCTAACCTGCGCTCTGTCCACTTCCAGTGTTTCTTCCTGCCTTCTGCGACTTTGCTGACACAGCCCCGGGTATTCCGATTGCCTGCGTCGTCGTGTCCCGTGTCATGTCCCCCCCCCCCAGTGAGCAGCTGCCTGCGAATGACTCCTGAAGGTTTTTGCTTGGCTAGCGTACTTTCAGACATTCTCACTTGATTCACAGTCTCTGTTTTTGATTTGTGGCCTCTTGACATATTGCCATGTATTTGACTACATAACAATAACATTTGTGTTTCCCGCCCCACTACTTTCCGAAGGCAAGGAACTCTGAAACGTG